ACAATTTGTGTAGTTGTGTAAAACCTATTGTTTACTATTGCAGAACGTTAGCAGAATGTTGTTGCAAATAGCTTTGAACATAGTGATAATTACATCATGAAACGAACTTACCTGTAAGTGATGTTCGATCCTAATCTTGTGGAGGTTTCGTCGAAGTAAATGTTTCCTCCGCTGGTTATAGGCGGCCAGAGAGAGGAAGGTATAGAGGCGAGGTGCCGCATTCCTTCGCTACTTGCGCGCTTAAAACTCGTGGGTTTGCTGAGCTACGAAGGTACTACAAGTAGTATTTACTTCGCCGAGACCGTCTCATAATTAGGATCGAACATCACTCACAGGTAAGTTCGTTTAACCATAAAATTTTATTTTGAAGGCATTTGGTTACTGTATTGAATCATTCGGTAAATTTGAATAACCGGTGGCATTACCTTTACTTTGGTGTGAACGCTTGTATTTGAATACATGTGTCAAGTCGCGTTTTCGTCGGGTGGCGGTTGCCAGGTGCTTGGGCTCTCAATCATCCATCTTATGACCTCTTTTTTAAAATTTCCCTGGTCTAGTGGAATACTGGCCGTTCTTTGGAGTGCTTCTCCAACGTATCGTCCCTAATCCACAAACCAGCAGCCGTTTAAGTTCCGCACAATGCACGTCTAGTTAATATACTAAATGAGTGAACGCGCCCAGTGAGTGTAACAGGTACAAAAGGACGCAAAACCGTCGTGTATTCCGCATGGATTTTCCGTATGTGGCAAGCACGTTTCGGTCCTTTTCCATGGACAAAAACAATTAGTTCGCCCAAATTAAAAGACGAAAGTTGCTCTGCTTTGCTCTGCTATCCCCTTTCCGAATTAACAAGGAGAGGGCCGATAAAAAGCACAACCCAGCGCAGTATTTTACTGCAATTAGACGGACAAAGCAGTTTGTAAAATCCCGGGTGACTGGTCCGATGCAACGTTGCCACATGGGGCTTACACGCTCAAATTGGTTAAAGTTTCTTAGTAATGAGGTCTTGAATTTAAATCAAGTAAATGTGAGAGATACATTTATACAGGGTGCCAGAACAAAATATGTGAATTGACCTAAACATACCTCAGTCCAAAAGTAGATGGTTTGCGAGATACAGGGGTCAAAGTTACAATTTTATTTTATATTTTTCCTTATTGCTTGAGAAGTATTTCAGATTTTTGCACAAAACCCGGTATAGGGAGGTTTACTAGTATGAGAAACAAGAATCCGTTATTTTTATGGCCAAGCTTCTAGAGTGCGCAACTTACAGCACTATTTCGGTAAATAACTTATCATAACTTTTTGTGCTACCCTGTATACAACAACACAGAAAAATCTTATTTTCTCGTATTTCCACAACAAAATCGGTTTACTTATTAGAAGTCTCTAAAGCTGATAGTTTTCGAGATATTTGTTTTTAAAAGTTCCAATGCATTATTTGTACTATGATGATAAAACATTTTTATAACATGATAATCAAGTTTATATGGATAATATCTGAGTAGCGTTGCTATGGTTTCTAATGTTTGTCTTAATATTTCTTTAAACTTCATGAACAATTTTAAGTTGACAATATGTTATTAAACATCATGGAGTATACGTTTGATGAAAATTCTGATATGCATTTAATTAACAGATTGGCAAGATGTAGTGCTTTAAAAGCATGAAGATTGTACGCTGACAGAATCCCTAAAAGACACCTGCCTAATTCAAAGACTATCCAATGAATCGATCAACGGTTACGAGAAACTGGTAAGAAAAGTTTACAGCCTCATTTTGAGTAGTAAAACCATTTGGATTTTAGGTAGTTTGCTCAAAATATGGGCCGAAATAGTGAAGTTTCCAGAACTGGACGTACAGCTGAAGTTGAAGAAAATGTTTTAGACGCTACAGTTGGAGTTAGGAATGTAGCTCGAGAACTACGTCATCCATACCACCTGCAAAAAGTACATGGCTTAAGTGCGGTGATGAACCCGCAAGGGTAGAATTTTGTACATGGTTCTTAAGGAAGTTTAACCAAGACAATGGTTTAACTTCGCTGATATTATTTTCGGACAACGCCGGATTTGGAAGAGATGGGCCCAATAACTCGCATAATCTTCTCATTTATGCAGACGAAAATCCCCATGCAATAATTCAAACCCGCCACCAAATGCTATTTCAAATTAATCTATGGGCAGGAATAATTTGACAATATTTAATAGGACCCGTTGAGTTACCACCTAGACTAAATGGCCAAATGTATTTACAATTTCTTGAAGAACAATTACCCACTCTGCTGGAAGATCTTCCATTACAAACACGCATGAATATGTGGTTTATACCCGACGGCGCTCCACCTCATTTTAGTATATTACGATTTAGTTAGAGAGCACCTAAGTTTATCCAGACCAGTGGATAGGCCGATCAGGATCTGTATCGCGGCCGGCTAGATCACCAGATTTAAATCCTATGTATTTCTTCTTCTAGGGTGATTTAAAACGACGCTTTTACAATAGATGCGCCAGTGGAAACTGTAGATGATATTCGACAAACAATTTTCCACCATAGCAAGGAAATGAAAAATAACATCCAAATGCTTTGGAGAGTGCAGCAAGGATTAGTTCTTCGAGCTCAAGAGTGTGTTAGGCTAGGTGGTGCTCAAAATGTTTTATCATCGTGGTGCAAATAATACATTGGAACTTTTGAAAACAAATATCTCGAGAACCATTAGCTTCAGACACTTCTAACAAGTAAACCTTTTTTGTTCTGGAAATACGAGAAATTAAGATTTTTGGATCAGTTGTATACAGGGTAGTACAAAAAAGTTATGATAAGTTATTTACAGAAATAGTGCTGTAAGTGGCGCCCTCTAAAAGCCTGGCCATAAAAAATAACGGATTCGTGTTTCTCATACCAGAAAATCTCCCTATATCGAGTTTTATGCCAAAATCTGAAATACTTCTCAAGCAATAAGGAAAAATAGAAAATAAAATTGTAACCTTGACACCCTGTAGCTCGCAAACTATCAACTTTTGGACTAAGGTATGTTTATGTCATTTCACATATTTTGGTCTGTAATATCTCCAGTTTCGAGATTTCCCAACCTTCTGCAGACTATAGGATTGTTCGTAGAATAGTCAGGGGCTTGTCGGTGACCGTGTCTGGGATCCGGCCGTGTGAATTTTGTCTATATACCGTATAAGAATGAACAGAATTTGTGTGGCGGGTTCTTGAACACGATCACTGACAGGTTGGTGACAGCTACACGAACAGGGCTTAACTAGTCGAAAACTTTGTAAAGAAATTTTATAGGGACGGATTTTGCAAAGCAACTATATCCCTGATTTGTATTTGAATTTAAATTCTTTTATTGAACGTCAAAGCTGGAAAAACCAGTTTTTCGCTTATATCGAAAAATCTATGAAGTGTTGGCCTAAGTGTCCTAGATGATAAAAAGACTTTTAAATATTATGCCATATATCCAATTTACTACAGCAGCTGCCTTACTAGGCACCTGGTAAACAATGGCCATTTAACCTCAAGGAATTTAGTGGCTTTAATAAGTTGCTAGAAAACCTTCAACATTTTGGATTGCTCCACCACCGCAAAGGGAATAAATTATGGCTGTTATTCCATATTTTCAGAAAAGCCTTTTTCCTTAAAAATTAAATCTGGACAGAGGGACTTTCTTTGAATAAAAAGAGTTAACCGCTAGCGCTAGCTCAAGTCGAACATGTAAGGTCTCATTTTAAAGGCATTTTCAGGCACTGCAACTTTTTGTTGATGTGGTATTACCAGTTTACGGGAAACATTTTTATTTTTTTCAATCTTGACGGTTATGAAACAAGCAGCCCAGTAAATTTCTAAGCATCACTAAATAATAAAAATATTCCCATTTACACTCTAAGAACATATTCCTGATGTAAAATCAATCTATGTAATTTATCTCTGAAATTCCAAATATCCTGGTCTCGTTCGCTGAGCAGGAGCTTTACAAGGATCAGTTTTGGCCCCTAGATTGGTCCTGCTCTTTAATGACCGTCTATCCAGCAGTATATCTCTAGTAACTCTATGGTCGCTAGGTGTCCGGACAGACGTGTTGAGTTTAACGATTGTTACAAAAAAGACAGTCCAGGAACCGGGATATGACGTTACTGTGTCAATACCCTAAATCTCCGACGTTACCCCTGAATCAGAGATAACCGAGCAATATAACTATCATTAAAGTAACAATCCCTTCACACATCCTGCCATGGGATACATTCAGACTCGAGCGATTGCCAAGAGAGGATAGTTAAGCGGTCATTCAGACCTAGGATGCCACTTCGGCCAAAGGCCACCCTGTCAACATCCCAAGCGACCTGACGTTTCCCCTGGTAGAGGAAACCGAGCAGTAATTAACATAACTACCTCAACCTAGCAAACGGGCTCCGAAAGTCCCATAACAACCCCCAGAACCTGGAGGCGTCCCACCTGTGGATATTGAATAACAAGTCGTAAGCCATAAATTAAATTATGAAGGTAAAAATTATAGCATCTTTATAAACATGTCTTAAGACATCCATGATCATGAATCTGTGCTTTAGAGGTATATAGATGTAACTACATATAATGCAATTCAGAGAACAAGCAAATTAAAGATTGAGTTAGTATCAGAATGGATTTTTGTTCATGTTACTGTTAATATGCGAATATAGTTTCTTTGGAAAACTTATTATATGGTACACAGAACAGTAATGCTTCAAGTTAAGGATATTAGATTATTTTATGAGTTACGACTATTCACTATGATAATAAAATCCGGGTGCAGCATAGGATGAAACACAGTAAGTACAATTGGTGGAAATAGGCTACATTTTATTATTACAAAAAATGACATCTGGAGAATATATATTCAATCGTCGTCGTCGTCATCATCTCCTTGTTGACCCAGCACAGGAATATTTTTATAAAAATCATGAAATGCTTCTGGTATCCATTGCAGAAGCATGAGAAGATGATCGTGCTTTTTCTTGCTAAGTCCTTTTGGGGTTTGATGCGGCGAACATCGGTTTTCTAGAGGATCTATTCATGTTTACCATTTTGTAGTCCTCTTGGTATATGTGTGTTTCATAGTAGAGTATCCCTGGATCCTGTTTTCGAACCTCAAGCCACACTGCTGATGACACTAAAAAGCTTTCTTTGTCAAGCGTCTGTTTCTTTTGAATGAGAGGTGATACTGTGCCGGAATATAAGGCCTCGAAGTTCTTGAAGTCATCTAACTGCATCTCGAAAACTGTGGCTCAGGTTGGTCTTATAAGTTGCAGCCAGTCCCATGGCGTACATATTTTCATGGTTGGTTGTTTTTTTAATAGCTCGTTCGATAAGTGCATGGATATGATCAGCTTCCATGTGAGTGTGTCCACGTAGAAAAAACTTGTGAATGATACACTTTAATGAAGGACTTATTATTTATAATATGTAAAAGTAGTTTACGATCATCATAATGTTTCTGTTTTGGCTCGGACACATATAATATCAATTATGTTGTACTTACTGGATTCTCGAGAATCGATTTCCTCCTCCATTGCAGGCTGCGCTAATTTTTGAGCCCTTGAGGACATTATTACCGTTTTTTTGTTACTAAAGCACCTTGATCAACTTTGAAGAATGATTGAACAGCACAGTTCGTAAAGCAAGCGGTGCGCGTCGGAGACATGACTGTTTACAGCTGCGTGTTAGTAGGGTTCGAACGCTCTTAGAATATGACCGCTACGTCATCGTGGGCGGGTCCGCTCATCACGCGGTCGTCGACAGAGCGCAGTGGCGTTCTATTTTAATTGAAGTATAAAATAAAGTGAATAGGTTGTGTAGACATTGATCATTAATTGATTTTTGTATTATTATATTCATTTAGTATGCGCATTAAGTTGTTCGGAAGCAAATCTGAATTAGAAGAGGGAGCAAACTAAAGACGGTTATAATTGAAATTATATATTATCATTAAAAAATCTAATCGCTATCAGATGATAGTGTGTTTAGCTTCAAATCTTCATCTGAGTCGCTTTCGTCACTATCTTCTGATGATGACCCTGTGTTCACATTGAATTGATACTTATCCATTTGATCGTCGAGAAGATGTTCTTTTTCCACTTGTGCTTGCTCATATTTTTTCACGTGGTTACACATTTTCTTCCACTCATCTGCTCCAATTTCTTCAAACCTGCTACGGGTCAGATGCTCCACATCAGACAACCTAAATGTCACATTTCGTGGAGCAACCCAGTTTTTTACGAGAGCCCAAATCTTCTCGATTGGGTTTAGCTCCGGATGATATGGAGGCATTCGTAAAACTTTATGCCCGTGCTGTTCCATTAAGGCATCTAGCTTGAATTTGACTGGAAATCTTGTTTTATTTTTCTGTATTTTTTTTATATAGTTCGGCCTTAGTTAATGAGTTTTCACTAGGAATTTGATGTTTTTCTAGCCAGTCAATCATTTCTGATTTCAGGCTAGAAGACGTTACATTTTTTTCTTCCAGGACATTGTGATAAGAAGCGTTGTCAACTACAAGCACAGAATTTTCAGGCAAATCTGGGATCATTTGGCTTTCTACCCATTTCATGAAGTTCAAATGATTCATGTCGTTGTGGTATCCCCAGATTTTGAGCCTGAAAATAAAATACATACATATAATCCAGTAAATGTAAAAATATATTGGAAATATTTTACATCATTGTAACACAAATAATACCTGATTTAAATATCAACAAGGCGTTAGGAATAAAGCCGAATTCTCCACCAGCATGCACAATAATCATTCGTTGTCCTTTTGATAAAGGCGTTTTTAGTTCCTTGTCATAATTGTCATCTGACCATCCTTTTTTGGGGTATGACTAGAATGTATATATGTTTCATCCGTATAAATTATGTTCCTGTTCTCAGCTCTATATTTCATAATTTGCTTCAGATATTCGATACGCTTCAAGCAAATTTCATATTTTTCCATGAGAGCTTTTTTATTATCAGTAGTTCTTTTCCATCTGTAGATATAAATTATATTTATAGCGTTGTAAATCGAAAACCTTATAGTGTGTATGAATACTGACCTAAAGCCCATTTGTTTCAAAAGTTTGTTCAAAGTCGTTATTTTACCCTCAAAATTGAGTTGTCGATCTTGCATTTTTTGGTAAATACCTAAAAAATCTTAAAATGAAATATGACTAGATGCTACGGTTACAATTTAAAAACTTACATTTCAGCGAAGGTCTTCTTTTCTCCAAAATATAAAAATCGTATATGATTGCTTTCATTTCTTCAATTTGGCCTGCAGTCACTTTATCCACAACAGGTGATTTTCGTTGCCGCTTTTTAGATGGGGATGAAAATGAAAAGTTGCTTGAATATATTCCATCTCTGCTCTCTTTAGCTATTTTTTGATAAGTACATTTACTTATACCCGTGGCAGCTAACACACGTTTCCTAAATGGGTTAATCAGTTTTAATTGACAATAATTATAAAAATCTTTTACATTCATACATATTGTTGAAGTGGAAACTTTAATCCCTCTACACTTTCCTGTACCATGAAGTTATTGACATTGTTGATAATTTCCTTTCCTTGGCTCCCAATCGCCTTTCCTTTCACGCCAATTCACAGACATTGTTTAGATCACTGGTTCAAAACTATTAATAATTTAAATTTGAACAATAGTAAAAATTTCCACTATATTGCAATCTATTTGACAATTTTTACACACGGTGCCTTGTTCAAATTAGTTTACAAACTGAACTTATGACTAACGGATAGGTTTATATATCTGTTGCAGGTAAAATAAATGTGATTGATTAACACTCATCGTCTTAACGCTACTTACGAACGAAGGGATTTAGCCACGGGGAATTATTCCAGGTAGTTCAATTTTACACTTGTTATTATTAGATTTGTTTCTACTAATTTTGTTTACCTAGGCTTGATATTGGTATTAGCCTATTTATCTAGGTACTAATGATGCACTCTAGGAAATCTCATGATTGGTATAGATATAAGCGGATCACAGTCTTAGGATTAATTTAATTACTTTCAGTTGTTTGCCAACTTTGGGGTTTTACCCTTCAATATTGTGTCTATTATATGTACGTTAGGTACCTGCTCACTATTTTAAATTTTGATTTATGGATCTCCATCAAATATCCACAAACCCTATAAGATTAATAATTTTCAACACAATCAAATATAAAATATGATATGGTTAATAAATAAAAAAATAAATAAGTCGAACAAACGTTTCATCAGATCCCAATTGTGTCAACAATCTCAACTGACTGAAACTTGCGTATCTACATACTAAAAAACGTTCCGCCTATGGCTTTCTGAGAGTGGGATGTCCCTTAACAGCGTCAACAGCAACATAATTTCTGGACATTGAAGACCACATACATTTTTAAGCTTTCTACGATATAAATATTCGCCACGATTAGAACTGGACCACATTAAGAGGGCGGTAACAGATGTCCATAAATCTTACCAGTGACTGTCACAACAATTTCCTATATTCTTATAGGGTACAATCGACGCAAGGGAGAGGGTATAAAGTGATGACGTAGCGGGCATAACCTTAGGCTGTTCGAACTATACTGTGCGTATGCATGGAGAAGCGACTGTTTACCTCTAACAAAAAATCACTAGCTGCTTGTCCTATCTCATATATTTCATGATTATCGTGGTTAGGCGATACAATCATTTACTCCAAGTAAAGATTAACCGGGGATACTAATTATACGCAGATAATCACAAAAACTGCAAATATTTAATTACGATCGTTTATCTCTAAGGCACAGGAATATAAAAGTATTATGGTTATCAATTAATGCAGTACAGTAGAATTCTCAGTGATTGTTTACTTTTCAGGTAAGAAAAACACTACACCCAATAGCACAACACTGTAATTAGGTCCACAATACGCACTACTTGGTCTGAGAAGCGATCTCTTCCACGCACTATTTCAACTATGATGCGAGCGACGTCCGCCTTTATAAGAAAGTTTATCCTGGGAAGAAGTACCCAGAGAAGGAGTGGAATGTATATCATAAACAGGCGTAAGGGCCGTCGTGCTGAGTGACACTAACCAGACTTGTGAACCTTCTGGAAAGATTTTGCATGCAAAAATATGTTTGAGTTATTTCGAAAGCTTATATTTGTAGTTACATACTTTGCGGGTTATGACCTGTCTCATTGCAGGGTACGCTAAATGTGAAGATGACAAAAATATTGAAAAACGTACCTGAATTTCTAAAGCTGTTCTGAGGAGATCGCTACAGCAAATATGTACATTGACGGGCATGCGAAAAAGACTCTGTACTGCCCACTAGATTCTGAACAAATGAACTTTATATAATGAATCATGTATCTGGATCAAATTTTGTACGCTGTGGTATCTTTAAGGTTTACCAGCTATGAATAAGGCTGTAAAGTAGAATGCTAGTGAAGAAGGCGTTATTTGACAAAATTGAAATTGTCGGCTTTGGATACGTACATCTGAATCAAGTTTCTTACATTTGAGTGAGTGAGTGAGTTTCCTATTGGTCGGCTATAGAAATCCTTACAGCTGGTCTTGTAATATAATGAATAAATAGAGGACAACTTTCGTGTGCCCTGGTGTTATTTGCTTTGCATTCTCCTTCATTCAAGTTGACCCCAAGAGCTTGCAAATTGAATAGTCTAGCTGCGACTTATACTAGCTGATGGTAGTCACCTTCCTGGACATCGTTGTATAAGTCTAGAATTTTCGTACAAAAACCACAAGAAAGCAATGTTGATCATCTACTAGAAACGGTAGTTTGTTTTTTATTTCTACTATAAGAATTTCTTCTTTCGTAGAACATGTCTTCTCAGTTGGTTAACATGGCAACCATGGACGACAGTACGAACTGACAGAATAAGCAACTAATTACTTTAAGGGCCGGCCAATTGAGGTCCTTCTAGTAGGGCTCATATCCCGTTCAGAACCCTTTGCGATATGTGGATATGAATTTAGCTGAGATTATTTAGAATTTTGATGTTGTTTCTGCTGAAACCCAGATTATTTCTGATTTCAACATTGAAACAGCTCTTGGAAATTGGATATTGAATTTTTACTGTCGTTGGAATGATAGAGGAAGATATGATATGATCATGTTTCTCATTTATCAGGAATCTTGCGAGTACTTATCCCAATCCCAATATACCCGTTACGTCCAGAAGCTGCTGCCGGGTGATGATATTTCGTCGAATTTTGTTAGTTGCACG